ACCCTTTTATAATAAATTATTAAATATAAGTAATTCGCAAAAGGGTCTGAGGTTTTCTTAGTAAAAAGGGGGGTTTAAGGGGGTCCTCGTCTTATATTAATTTATTAAAATATAAGTAATTCATAAAAGGGTCTAAGGTCTCCCTTATAAAAAGAAGTATTTAAAGAGGTTTCTTTTCTATAATAAATAATTAGATAAATTATTTCTTGCGCTAATTACTCTTAGATTTATTCAGTTTCTATTATTATTTATTTTATAATTTACTTAAATATATAAAGATTTTTATAAATCGAATAATTAGCTCGTTGGTGACACTACAAAGAACTTGGTCCTTTGCCCTGGTAATATCTTTTTATATTTACCGACGAAATTTAATAAAAGTTAAGCTATCGAAAATCTAGCTTTTTAACGTTAAACATATTTACTTTACGTATCGAGTCGTACTTAAAGACTAAGTTACTTATCTTTAAAAGTTTAATTCGAAAGTTCTTTTTATTATTAAAAGCATTTTTTTTTTTAACGGCAGCGGGTTTTCTTAAGTATAGTTTTTATAGCGTCTTCGTTTCTCATCCGAAACTAGCGTGCTTTTAATTCGATAAGCTTAATACGATCAATCACTAGTTCTTAAAATAACGTAGCTTAAGACTAGATTCGAGTCTTAATTAAAAGCATTGCTTTTTAAGTTTTTTATTATATATTATATAAAAAAAGGTGAATTTAATAAAAGTATGCATCGAAGTGCGATTAGCGAATAAAACGGTTAGCAATTGCGCAATTTAATCGGTGCTTTTAAGCTTATTTAATACGTTCTTAATTAGTCCGTGATCGCGTTTTATTATTTTATTTACTTAAAGGTAATACGCTAAGATTACGACTCGATTGATTTTTTAATTATTAAGTAAGTCGATTACTTTTTTTTTAAACTCCGATCTTTTATCGATTATCAGCTAAAAGAAAATCTTATAGCGGTAAATGATATCTTTTTAAATAAACTTAATTATTAAGAACGAGTCTCGAGTCCGAATCGCTTTTGCTTTGACTTATTTACTTATATTATTTTTAATAATAATTAAGTAGCTTTTGCTATTGCGTATAAGTAGATAAGTGATATCGATAGTTTAGCGTTTTATTAAGCTATTAAATCGAGTAAAGTATAATAGTTCTTCGAGCTTATTAGCTATTCGATGCTAGTATTTTTTATAAGTCTTAACGAATCGTTTAACGTTTGTATAGCATTTATTTTAAAAGTAGCGTTAAGAAATATAATAATAAATTGATTTACGGCTTTTATAATTACTTTTATCGTAATAAGCCGTAATAATGTTTATTTTAATCGAAAGTTTATCGATTATTAATCGAAAAAGAAAGCTTTTCGTCGGAAGTCTTTAAAGCTTTTTATCGTTCACTTTATATTAAATAGCTTTTTTTTTAAACTTACGGCATTCTATTTTATTTAAGTCTTTAAGTCTTCGTAAAATCGTTAAAAAAGTAGCTATTCGAATTGATTTCGAAAAGTATTCGATTAAGTTTAAAAAGCTTTCGTAATTATAATCGTCGTTAAATTCGTTTAAGTTTATATTTTCCGCTTCTTTTTAGCGTTAAAATATGTTTTTAAAAATAGACTAGCGAATATCTATTAAAAAGTCCGTCGAAAGTTTTTCGAAGTCGTCTCGAGCTTTAATAAGTCTTAAGTCGGTTAGCAAGTTATTATCGAACTTATTCTCGTTCTCGTCGCTTAAATTATTAAAGTGCTATAGCTGTTTCGATAATGCATCGATAGCGGTGTAATCTTTATTAAAGATATATCGAACTTTAAAATCGAAAAGATTAATTTAAGCTAGCTAGCGTATAATTAAAGCTAAAGATATATTAATAATTCTTTATCGAAGCTAAGCAACGAGCACTTTAATTTTAATCTTAAAAATAAAATGCATTTCGATAATCTATAGCTTAAGTTTTTTAAAAACTTTAAGTACTTCGCGGCACTTTCGTTTAATAGCGTCGTAATTCCGTTTTGCTTTCGTTTAAGCTTCGGACTCGTATCGAGCCGATTGCACTTTATTAAAAATAGTCTTGCGTTAATCGATATATTTTTTTTATATTTTTAAGCTAGCGTTCGTTTTTACTATTATTTCTTTATTTTAATATTCGTAATCGATCTTAATTAAAACCGAAGCCGTCGCTAAAGCGTCTTATAGCATTCGCATAATTTTCGAATGCGCTTCGATCTATTGCTAATTTAAATTTTTTTTTATAAAGTTGTAAAAAAAGTTAGCAATATATGCAAATCTTTTAACTTAAATGCGAAAGTAAAAGCAAAAGCTTAAAAATCTTTTAACTTTAATAACGTTTTCGAAAGTTTTTTAATTATTGATCTTAATAACTTTATCCGTAGCGGGTTTTCGACTTTTTAAATTATATACGAATCTTATTATATTCATTTTATTTTAATAAAATTATAATTTTTTTTCGATCGTAGCTTTAACGCGCTTAATTCGTTTTAAAGTCTTATCGATGTTTTAAATATGTTCGAACACGAATCGGCGTATACTCGAAAGTGCTTTTTCGTCGAAATAATCCGTTTATAATTTTTTTACTTCAATATCGTCGATAAATAATATAATGTAAAAGCACCCAAAAAGATGTGCCGTATAAAAGCCTGGCTTTAAGGCTGAACCTCATAGTCTTATAAAAGAAGTGCTAAAAAAGATAGGTGGAAAGCTCGTTGATTGTTCTAGCTAAAAGATATATGCTTTTTTATAAAAGATAAGTCCGTCTAGTATGGCCTTAATAGTTATAGCAGGTACTCTATCAAGCAGGGTGTTTATATCCGTCCTCTTATAGAATAAGTAAGCGCCCCCGCTTACCGTCAAATAAGAAAAGAAAAAAAAGGAAAGTATAGAAAAAAGAAAAAAATCTAATATACAAAAAGAAAAGGGTATCTTGTCTTTAAACTCTAAACATCTAAACTATTAAACTACGCTTTAGCAGCTTCCTTATAGTCTCTTTCCGTGCTTACGTCCTTAATTCTTTCGTTCTTTTCAAGCTAAGAAAGTCTTTTTCTTTTAGCAAAGCTAGCA